ATCAGTTTGAGGCAGCTCTGCCTCTGTATCTATTGTTGTTCAATATAAAATATATTTTTATTGATTTCAGAGAGGAAGGGAGAAAGAGAGAGAGAGAGAGAGAGAGAGAGATATTATCAATGATGAGAGAGAATCATTAATCAACTGCCTCGAGCCTGCAACCCCAGCATATGCCCTTGACCAGAATCGAACCCAGGACCCTTCAGTCCGCAGGCCAACGCTCTATCCACTGAGCAAAACCAGCTAGGACTATTCATTTAATTATTCAATAAACATTCACCGAACAGTTCCAGGCACAATGATACACTGGGGGGTACAAAAAATACATAAAACAATATGTCCCTGTCCTCAAGAGGCTGTGGTAGAGGAGACAGACTTGGAACTAAATGCTCAGGGAATAACCGCATTGGCGCACTGTAACTGCATTTCTCATATCTGTGCTTTTGGGGCTCCCACAAGCATAAAGACAGGGGCACAGGCATTCCCTAGAGCAAAACATTAGAGACCATCTGTGTGTCTACCAGTAGTTAAATACATAATGGTACATTATAAGGATGAGGTAGGTCTATATATGTTAACACACGAATTCCATAATTTATTAAGTGCAAAAAGCAAATTTCAATATAAGAACTACAAACGATTCCGTCTTCATTAAAAATATACATACATACACAGAGGAAAAGATGTGGAAATATTTAGCCCCAATGTATAACCTCCAGCCAAAGGAACTGAAGACTCCCTCCTTGTCTAGGACCCTTGCTTTTATTAACACAATTTGTCCTAAGGCAAGGTGGAGATAATACACTTCAAAGGGTAAGGTTTCAAAGGGTACAAAAGCATTGTCAGTTTGGGGAATAGCCTACAGCTGTTCAGGTGTTTGGCCAGTAGGAGGCAATGACATGTAGATTAAGATGCCCTTTAGCTGTCTGGCAGCCACAATCAGTTTCCTATTCAGGTTTGGGGAAATGCCTTTAGCCATTCCCAGATGGTGACTACATGTGTGACTCAACCCTGTTGAGTCCCCAAGTTTCATCAACCTTTTGATGAAACTCTTGAAATTATGACATGCTGGAATTGGTCTACAGCAGGGAGGCATCAAAGGACGTGAAGTTTGGACTCAGTTTTGGAGGAGGGGTCAGCATTCACTGGTTGAAAGGGGGGGAGGGGACATTCCTAGTAGCAGGAACTTCATACCCAGAACCCTGGTGTGGAAGAGAACAGAAGACTGTTCATCTCACAGAATCTGAGTCACATTTGAGGAATCTGGTGTCTTAAACAGGGACCAGTCTCCTCTGGCAAGATTCTTATCAACGACAGTCCAAGGAGCAGGCTCAGCAGTGACTTCGGGCCTTGTTCAGGGCCTGGGGAAAGTGCCTTGACCTTGGTCCCAGACCCTCAAGGACGATCTGTGTCATGTTCACTGGAGCTCTCTCCCTCCAGAAAGAAAGACTTGCACCTGCTCCCCCCGCCTTCCTGTCCTCACAGCTCAGTGCTGCTCCTTTCAGAACAGAATCTCGGCTTGATATAAATCAGTGACAACCTAGCTGCAGCCCAGGACATCTATATCTCAATTCTCCGGGAATTAACACATACATACAACCTCCAAGTAGACATTAATTATATATCCACACGAATTCACTTACAAAAATGTATGTCTTCAATGACTACTAAACCATGCATTTAAATGAATAGATGTAGTCGGAATACACCCACATAAGCCAAATAAATTGTTAAGTTCTGCTCAGCCTCACTTCTGTTCTCAGTTAGTGTCACCCAGACCTGCGGCAGCCCAAGAAAGGAAAATGTTGACATTGCCCGGGGCAAGCTATCTCATGCCACAGGGATCTCTCTGCTCCCCTCTCAATCTAGAGCCAGTAAGAATTTTCTGAGCTGTTACGGGTGTAAGGAGTGTGTGTAAGGCGCACCCAACGCCACTCAACCAGATTCGCTGGAATAGGAAAAGCATCGTTCGTTCAGCAAACAGGCATCGAGGGCCCCTCTGTGCCAGCCCTGAACTCTGCATCAGAAATAAACCAGGCATAGTGTCTGCCCTCGAGGGAGGAAGGCAGTTAAACAAGTAATCACAACACAGCAGACGTGTTGACAGGCGCGTTCACCGTGTGGTGGGATCATAAGGGGCAGAAGCCAGATTCAAAGAGCCACATACTGTCTGACTCCGTTTATATGAAGTGTCCAGAACAGGCGGATCCATAGCAACAGAGGTGGACTAGTGGTGTCCAGGGACTGGGATGGGGGTGAGGAATGACTGCTTACAGGAACGGGGTCTCTTTTGGGGGCGATGAAATGTGCTGGAATTAGAGGTGACGATTGCATAATTCAGCGAAGGCACTGAAAACCACTCAATGGTGAATTTTATGGTAGGTGAATTATATTTCAACTTTATAAAAAATGCTATAGGAGAACAGCACATTGGTTGTCCTTACACTTATTAATACATTTATTTCTTCAAACTAATTGTATTTTTTTCCCTCTCGCTACGCTGTGCTGCTTATTCACCAAGTCAAACTGTTTTAATATTCCCCCCAAATTTGGGAGTTTATCCATGTGTCCATCTTACTATATAAGAATCACTATGTGAATTCTTACAGAGCGCATCACTAGCTATGTCTATATCTATGACTTCTTCTGTGTGAGTCACTA